CCCTCCTCTCCTCTCTTCCATCTGCTATAGAAAATCACAATCCATTTCATGATACAGAGTTCCCCAGGAACATGTAGAACTTCTGTCTTATTCACGTTCGTCTTATTTGCGCTCCGTATGTAGCGGACTGTGGCACAGACTTCTGTTCTAGGAGCTGGGGGTGGTGACCCTGGAGTCAGCCTCCATCCTCTTCTCCTGCCTAGACCTGAGTTGGAGCTGCTGTTGGACACTCTGCATTTTTGACCCCTGAAAGCTGAAAAGGCCCAGTGTTGTTGCAATATAAGTGTCTGAGCTACTGCGACCCTTAGGGAATAGCAGGTTGTCACGTTACACTTGCATTTTGTCAAAAATGGTATCACCAGATAAATGTGAAAATGGGAGAAAATTCTCAAGCCTTCTCACGTTTGTGGAATAGCGCTGTACAGCACTTGATTAAATGAGACCATTGGGTCCTCTTCCTAAGTGTTGGCCTGCGAGTCCCTTGAGAAGTTGCACTCACCCAGATCTCAGAAGCCAGCCTTCTTCTGCGGCATAGCCAGTTGTACAGTGTAGTCAGAGCTGTCCTGGGGACGACCCCTTTCTGCAAGCTGTGGGGCCCGCTGTGCTCATGTGCCTTCTCCTTCCCACAGCAGTGTTGTGACCTGGGTTACCACGCCAGCCTGAACCGGGCCCTGCGCACCTTCCTGTCTGCTGAGTTAAATCTGGAACAGTCAAAGCATGAGGGTCTGGATGCCATTGAGAATGCGGTCGAAAACTTGGATGCCACCAGCGACAAGCAGCGCCTCATGGAGATGTACAACAATGTCTTCTGCCCCCCAATGAAGTTTGAGTTCCAGCCTCACATGGGGGACGTGGTGAGGCCCTGCCCATCCTCTCGCTCCCCCAGTGAACTTGTGTAGCTCCACTGCACAGAGCCCACACTCTTCCCAGGGTGAGGGCTTCCTGTCGGGTGGGAAGGCATATTTCTCTCAGTCACCAAACAGCCATGGGCGGCCTGCTGCCCACCAGCCCTGGCTCCGGACATGGGATTGGAGCCCTCAGGAAGTTTACAGTCTGGTGAGTAAGGTAGCTGGTGCTGGGAATTAGAAGCACAGCGAGGAGCAGCCAGAGGGAACAGCTGGCATGTCTAAAGCTTGGTATGGTGGAAGGAGAGAGGGGGAAGAGGTGCCTGCAGGGTAGGGCTGGGAGAAGAATGAGCTGACGTGGAGCCAGGCCGAGGCTAGGGTGGGACTTTGTAGGAATGCTGTCATCTGCTAACACTGGGCAGAGCTGGGGGGCTCTCTTCCCCTGGTTGTAGAAGACTGGTGAAGGGGATAGTTTAGCTTACGTATTGGGCAAACAGAATGGATCCTTCAGAAAGGGTAGGAGCTAAGACAGCATCAGCAAAGCCTGATGCTGGTTGCTCAGCAGGGGAGCATGAACATGAGGGCCATTAGAGATCTTTCATCCCCGATAACTGGAGCAAGAAAGGCCTGCATGAACTGAGTGGAGAGGAGGGAGAAGTTCCATAGTTTTCACTGCTTTGAATCTTCTGGTTCCACTTCAAGTAGTTGTACATCCGAATCTGAGTAAGCGTGTACCTGCAGGTACCATGTCACCCACCAGACTAGAAGGAGCGTGTATAGGCTTATGTGACAGAAGTGATCGGAAGGGCCTCTGGGCATAGCTGGGTATTGAAGCAAGAGCCTCACCAATGCTCGCTTGTCCGCCCTCCATTCTCAGATCGGCCCTCCCTTGGGCAAGGTGACTTTCCAGCCTCGTCTCCCGCTCAGTTGAAAGCTGGTGGGAAGCATGTCTGGCTCCCTCTTCAGAGAGACCTCGCAGTTTCCCTGGTTTTGCTTGGTGCGGCGTGCCGTCCGAGCCGGTCACTGCAGCTGGGTACCCACTGACTGGCATATGCCCGGCCCACGGGTCTGTCCGGAGCATGTGGCCTGAGTAGTGCTGTGGGAGGTGCTCCCAAGGGACCATCAGGCCGCAGTCACCACGGAGGTGGGGATGCAGCAGGTGCCCTGGTCAGTAAGAGTGCCTCCCTGGGGCTGGCATCCAGTGACTCCGCAGAGCGCTGCTCCAGAATGACAGTTGTAGCGGTGTATCAAGAAGATTTGCTGTCATCAGCAGGCCACAGTGGGGAGTGGGACACTTCTGTCCTAGAGACAAAAACATAGGGATCATTTCTTTTTCTCCTTCCTGGGAAAAACCAGACCCTTGCAGCTTGTTTCCATTGCTGTGGCTTAGCTTTCGGTGTGTGAACAGATGGGGAGGTGAGATGGCAGCGTGTGCAGTTACAGTGGGGGGGGGTGTCATCAGCCCCCAGGACACCCATTCCTCACCTGCCCTGGCTTCTGGTCAAACTTGCCTTCCAAGCCCTCCTCCAGCTGCCACTGGGATTCCTTCCCAAGAATCGGTGGAGCTCGCGGACGAGCTGAGAGGAGTGATACATTTTCTGGTGTTGACTGAGTCACCTTCTGAGCCAAACAGCTTGTCTCCATAAAGGAGGGATCCAGATTCTGGGCACTCCGGCCCCTCCCAGTCCTGTCAGAGCCACATTTCCATACTCCAGAGCACAGCTGGAGTGCATTACCTTGCACCCTGGTACAGGATCACTGCCAAAACATGCCTCAGCAGCTCTGCTGCTGCTTAAAGGAACAGCCTTGGGTGTGGTTTACCCTCCATGATTCCTCCCTGCTAGGTCTGGGTTACTTTAAAACTCAATAGCTCATTCTTCTTGTCTGGGTGCCTGTGACTGAGCCTGACCGAAGTTACCCTTTCTCACCCAGCCTTCAAAAGCATGGCAGGTTAAAGATGGGAGAGCAGCTCTTCTTTGGTTCCTGCAGCCAGTTTGTCCCCATTGGTGTAGGTTTTCTGTCCACGGAGGCAGCAGAAGAGAGCTGCCTAGAAGTCCTTGAACTAGGGTCACAGTGGGGTTACATTCTGACTGAAAGCTGAATGGGCCGAGGCTGTGTGCTGACTGGCATTCTGGGGCCTTTGGTGCAAAAATGAAAGCCAAGTGCTTTCAGATGTACGGAGAGTGGTGCCTGGCGTCATTCTTGGTGCCCCAGAGGCTTGTGGGGCTCGGGATGCCTGACTGGTGACATCAGGCAGCAGAGAGTTGCACTCTTGGCACTCACCCGCTCTGGCCACCGTGCTTTCTCCATTGTGCCTCCTTATCCAAGAGCCAGAGTGAAGTCAGCTCCCTTCAGATCTGAGAGTTGGCTGGGACCAGTCCCTCGGCCAGGGAAGAGGTCAGACCAGTTGGGAGCTTAAAAGCCAGTGGAGGAAAAGGTCAAGTCCCAGCCCCTCCATTTGAAGAGAAGTTCTGTCTTTCAAGCAAGAGAACAGGCTCTGGGCATGTGAATGTGCCCGCTCCCTGCCTAGAGGGAGGAGCCTGGTTTATCCAGATGTCTCTTGGCAAAAGAGCTAAAAGACCTATTGTAGCAAGATGCGAGGAGCTGCCTCCACATAAGTCCTGCTTCCCACCTCTCCCAGCCTGCTCTGCCTCAGTCGTCCTGGAAACAGCAGGCGACCTCATGCCGCAGCCACACCCCATTAGGAGCTGTAGACCAACTATCCTTTGGGGAAAGCCATTTGGTAGCAGTGCTAGGAGGAATAGGAGGAAGGCAGGTTGCAAAGGATCCTCTCCTATGTAGACCTGATAGAGGCCATGGGTAAAATGATAGCTCTTCGGAAACGCCAAGCTCTGCCAGAATCCTTGCCCTCTGGGGCCCTCTAGTATAAGCCTGTGATCTTGTTCCTGGCCTCATGCATTCGCATGGAGTCGGACTTCTTATGTATGGCCTGGATTCATAAGCACATGCTGGCTGCCAACAGCAGCAAGTTAGCCTCCTGACCCACTTCTCTCCTGCTTTCACTGTGGTATAAAGCGGGACGAGGGAATGGCTGGAGAGGTGGCCTCTTGGCCTTCGGGTAGGAAATCCTGGCCGTGCCAAGGCATTGTGTTTCTGGAGCTGAGCTGCCTGAGACACTCTCCCCCGGGATCCCTGCCTTTGCCAAGCACCAGCCTGAAGATGGGATCTGGAGAGAGGAACCTGGCCGTTCTAAACAGATCCCGCTCCCCATTTCTTTTCTGTGCTCTTCAGTCCACACATTGGCTTTGGATTTGTTTCCATTGCAAGTGTTACACCCTGAATATGAGTAGTTGTATTAGTGGTGATGAGAAAAACTGTATCCTCTTGTGACCTGGAGGTGCTTTCTTCTGGCAGGCTTCCCAGCTCTGTGCCCAGCAGCCTGTCCAGAGTGAGCTGGTACAGAGATGCCAACAGCTGCAGTCTCGCTTATCTACCCTGAAGATTGAGAATGAAGAGGTGAGTGCCCCACCCAGGGCTCTGAGTCTCCCCGTGGAACTTCTTGCCGCTGCCCATGTGGGAGCAGGTGGAAGGAGCATGCAGAGAATGTCCGGGCTGCTGCAAACACTTCCTTGACAAATGTAGGCTTGGACTTTCCCCCTGCTGCATCCTGCTCTGGAACTCCAGGAAGTTGCTCTTGTATTGCCAAAGGTTGTATTCTATTTTGAGCTTTTGCAAAATGCTTTTTTTCCCCTCTCTACACATTTAGTCAAAATGGCACTTGGCAGCTGTGTGAACTGTATTGTGTCTCTGAAACCACCACCCCCATGCCTGGCTTTTTCCAGCATTTTCAGACAAATACAGGCCATTGACTCTTGACACTTCAAACATCTCCATCCTCTTAGGAAAGGGTGACTTTCTTCTGGGCCCAGTACATTTTTCTTTCATCATCCAGTTGTAAAGGACAGTTTGAGTGATGATCCCACTTTCTGCTGAGCTCGGATGACTTCTTTCCTTGTGTCTTGGTCTTATTATTCCCAGGAGATTAGGAAGGACTGGGGATGGACCAGTTTGTTTCCCAGTAGTGAAACAAATTCATTGTTTTGTTGAAGGTCAGGAAATAGAACCTAGGGATGATTGTTTTTTTCAGTATATAGAATTACAGCCCTCGTACATGCTAGTTAAGTGCTCTCTACCTCTCAGTGATGTACCAGACCTTATGTTTTTTTTTTGAGAGAGAGAGAGAGGTCTTGTGAAGTTGCTCAGGGCAGCTTTGAATTTAGATCCTCCTGGCTCAGAGTAGCTGGAATCATATAGGCATGCGCCACCCTGCCTGGCCCATCCCATCCTTTAACTAGGTCTTGTACAATAGGGCTGATTTGAATTTGTTTTGTTCACATTTCCTTAGCAGTTCTCTTGTAATGAAGAACTAATACTAAGTTTTAAAAGTTAACGGTAAGTAAAAGCTGAGTTGAGCACATAGCACAAAGGAGTGATGGATCTTGAGGCCTCCGTGGAGAGTTGTGTGCTGTCAGAATCAGCCTGTCGGGGAAGCAGAGCTGGACCCTCTGATGATGTGCTCCAGCCTTCTCATCCTGCTTTCACTCCCACTGCCCCAGTTTCTCCACCACTTGCTGCTTTGGAGCTTGTATGTCTGCCCTTGTCCTTGTAGGTAAAGAAGACGATGGAGGCCACCCTGCAGACCATCCAGGACATTGTGACTGTGGAAGATTTCGATGTGTCTGACTGCTTCCAGTACAGCAACTCCATGGAGTCCGTCAAGTCAACCGTCTCGGAAACCTTCATGAGCAAGCCCAGCATCGCTAAGAGGAGAGCCAACCAGCAAGAGACAGAGCAGTTTTACTTCACGGTAAGGGCCCGGTACCTTCAGAGAATGTCAGCAGGCACCAGGTTCCTGGGAGAGGCTTGGAAGCCAGAGTCCTTGTCAGGTGTCTGAAAGGACTTTGTTGCAGATCGGAACCTTCGCACACTCGGAGCCTCTCTGCACTCACAGAGGTGACACCTACAGGCCGTGTGTGTCTGATGGGGGCCAAGGGGTGCTCCCAGGTATACTGTGAAGAAGTTTAGCTTTTTTTTTTTTTTTTTGGTCCTGGAGATTGAACCTCTGGTCTTTGTGCTTGGGAGGCAGGCAGTGGTCCCAGCCCGATGTTTAGCTTTCTAAAGGAGTTTGTAACCAGCTTTCTCAGCCACAGGTTATCAGGCGAGGGAGCGTCACTGCTTGCTTCTTGGGAACTACGTTGAAATTTCTTGGCCAACGCATACCTTGTTCTGAAGTCTAATGTCTCTTCTACATAATCTGATGACATTATTTAGTAACTTTTATTTTTGGGAAAATACTTTTAGTAATTATTCTTAAAACCTAAAAGGGACTCATAATGTAGAGCATTGCTGTTTTGCAGAGAATTCCAAAACATTTTGTTACTCCTGTATCTCCAGTCTCCTCTTAGACAAATGTGCCCATTTTTTTTTTTAGCATGGTGTTAATAGTCCTTAGGGAGGTTGTTAGCTGGTCTTCACTGCTGTTTTTTAATAATTAAGTTATTTTGATCTTGCCAAGTAGGATTTATTGCCTGGATTAGGATTTATTTCCTAATCTTCAGATGACCAAGAAAAGAAAAATTAAGTTTGCAGATGTGTGATGAAAAAAAGGCAGTGAATGTGCAGACTGATTCCGAATGAAACATTAACAGAAGCACAGTCTGCATGCAGTAAATTGAATTTTTCCTCCAACTGGAACAATTTGTTTAATTCTTCTTTGAACATTGCCATTTCTGTATTTAGAACACTAATGATTTGATAATTTTCTCTTAAATCTGTTTTTTAATTAGTTAAAATCAGAATTCTTTTTTTTTCCTCAAATCCTAGAGAAGACTGTAGAGTGATTTAAGAGTATTATTTTTCTAAAACACTTTTAAAGAACTGTCATACAAGAAAAGCATGCTCATTATATAAAACTTAGAAGTAAAAAGAAGCAAAAAAAACACCCCTAATCCTACCACATAGAGATATAATGGTATGGGGTATACTTCCTTCCTGGGGTGTACAAGTGCATATGTGGATATGTGTTCATAATTTTTTTATAAAACATGGGATACTATTGTGTCTGTTGTTATATAATATAAGTCGTTTAATTATGAAAATCTTAAAGCAAATACATGAGTAAAATACTAAAATCTACATAAATAATGACATGACATTTTGGCACATTCATTCATTTTCGTAAAACATTTAACACATTGTGTGGGTCATAATTTTCATAAATGCTGAAAATTAGGTGGGTATTTGTGGTGCACACCTTAATTCCAGCTACTCGGGGAGCTGAGGCAGGAGGATCATAAATTCAAGGGTAGCCTGGTTAACTGAACAAGACTCTGTCTGAAAATAAAAATTTAAACAGAAGGGATGCTGGAATATGACTCAGAGTTAGTGCGCTTACCTAGCATGTGAGAGGCCCTGGGTGCAGTGCTCAGTACCACAATCAACCAGTAAACAAATGCTGAGGTGTTACTTTCACTGTCACTGGTTTTTCCATTTTTATTAGTGTATGTTTGTGGTATGTAATAATTGCATTCACCTTGGAGAATTGATACATACACATCACATCTTGATCATTTTTACTACTCTTCCCCTCGCCCTCTCCTTGCTCTCCTTTCTCAGGTTCTCTTCCCACACCACAGAGTGTACCTCTCTGTTTCCTGTCATTGTTTGTACTTGGGTTTCACATATAGAGAAGCCATGCAGTATTTAACCTTCTGTGATTTAGTTTACTTAGCATGATGGTCTCAAGACCTATTCATTTTCCTACAAATGACTCAAACTTGTCCTTCTGTATGGCCGAGTTCTGTCATTGTCATTACCATTGGTCATTACTAAGTTATTCTCTGGTCGTGTACTGAGGGCTTCTGTCTGCCAGACTCTTGGTCACAGACCTGGGATGCTGAGAGTAAAACATGAAGGGGGTCATGGGACTGAGCATATAAAGGAAGAGCTTTCATTTGTATTTTATGTATTTCTAAGCATTAATAATGGACTGATTTTTGTAATAAAAATATAAAATATTTAACACATGTGCATGAGTGGTACCCATGGATGGCACCAGGGAAGCGGCGCATGCAAGCTACTTTGTGCTTGATCTTGAAGATGCGTGAACCGGGCAGAGGATGGGGAGGATATTGTCTTTGAGGAAGGGGCGGGGGCACAAAAGCATAAAGGCATGCAAAACCTGCGCTGCTCATGAGAGAGCTGATTGGCTAAAAGGGGCGCTTTTGACCTGGCTTCCTTCTCTAAGGAGCCGGGTGGATATTCTCCAGCGGCTTTGCGAAATAAGACTGTTGGCTAAGTCTGTCTGGGCTGCTAGGTCTGAATGACCCAGTATTGTTCCATTGGAGAAGATTTCCATTTTTAAGTCGAGCAAGACATTTTGGACATAGCACTGTATGTCAAGGCCTTTGTCAGAACCACCTTTGGCTTCGATGAATCTATAACATTTATTTCCAACATTGACCTTTAACAGAAAAGGAATGGCCCTGTTCAAGCGGGTGGCCTCTGAAGTCCTGTCTGTCCTCTCACCTTCTGCCTGAAAGTGTCAGTATCCTCTAACCCACATCCTGGCTTCTGTGGCCATGGTGCCACTTTATCAAAGTTGTGTACAAGTTTCCTTAGTTAACAGGAATGCTTTCTGTCTGGGCTTGTCCTGTAACAGATTTACAAAGAGCGCATCATCTTTCCTAACCTAGTGCCTGAGTAAAGTGGATGAGATAATTGTTCGTTTCAGGATGAAAGAGCTCGACAGTGAAATGGACATTCAAGAAGAGGCCCCTGTGTTAAACTGAGGGACGACTTATGAGGCTTGCCGAGCCATACACAGCCCTCTGTGGCTTCTACAGATATTTCCTTCTTTGTTTCTCTTCTCCCTTCAGAAACATCAGAGTAGCATATCTTAGAGGAGTGCTGACGAACCTAAGGCACGCGTGCCACAGCAGGCACCTGTCATTTGGAAAGTTTGGAAAGGTCCTTTATCATGGCTTGATTCCATGATAGTGTGCCTAGTGACCAGAAGGACTGATGAGACAGTTCTCTGATCACTCACAGCTATCAGCAGATTACTCTGCCCAGGTGACATGATTAGCAATTTCAAACATGTGGCCTGTGCAGGTCAGTTGCTCACAGCCGTCTCAGGGAGCTGATGATGGGATTTTACACCTGTGATCTCATCACTTCGGAGCTGAGGTAGGAAGGTCACACATTCAAGACCAGCCTGAGCTCCATGGCAAGTTCAAGCCCAGCCTGGTGTGTAAGGCCTTGTTCAGAAAAGAAGAAAGAAAAAAGAACCCAGCCTTCTCATTTGAAAGATTAAAAACAAAACATATCCAGTGAGAATGGGTAGCTTGGTCAAAGCCTTCAGCAGCAGCTAAACCCAGCACTCCAGTTACCTGTGCTCAGGCCCCCAGCTTTTCTTGAGGTGTGTCCAGCCTTTAGGCTCGCCTGAGCCACGCCAGGTGAAGGGGGCTGTCAAGGACAAGGCTCAGGAACAGCTCGGCAGCTTCCCCCTACCTGCTGTAGGTGATCTCCTTGGCTCCGCGCCTGTCGCTCATCTTCTGTGACACATCACTCAGCAACACCTACTTTCTCTTTACTGTCTTTTATTGTGCTTGTTAAAAATAGTTCTTATTAAAGACTGCAAAGATTTCAACAGGACATTCAGGAAAAGTCAAGCATTGTCCTGTCCATGACCCCACTTCTCCCTCTGCCAGACTCAAACCTGGTTTCTTTTGTGCCCTCCTAGAGATGCTGTATGCACAGGCAACCAGGGGTGTATCAGTAAGTTTCCATTAATAGAAGAAATTGCATTCGAAATATAATGGAATAGAAAGAACAAAATGGAGGTATATCACTCATACTGCTCCTCACTTTTGTCACTTCATTTGTTTTAGAAATGATCTTCATGTACAAAAAGGTCTCCTTCCTTAGAATTCCTTTGTATGGATGTATCACTGTTTATTTAATCAGTTCTCTGCTCTCTGGGCATTAGTGCTCATTGTTTAGCCAAAAAGCTTTATAAGACTGGCATTTCTCCGAGTATTTCCTAGTATAGAGCATTGGAGTGTGAGCATTGGAGTGTAGATAAGAATATGGCTGATAAAATAACAAGCCAGACTGCCTGAATTCTGAGGGTCAGGTTTGGGTTGAGTAATAGGTGGGGAGATGGTGCCTCGGCCACTGTGGCAATGTGTGCTAGATTTCACACCTGGAATGAGAGCTATCTTCATCTTAGCACCCTACAGGCCTTGGTACATGTGTGCTGAGCAGGTACAAGCGACTGAATGCCCCTGCCCTGCCCATTAAACTGGGGAGATGTGCTCCACTTGAAGTTGACTCTATTATGTATTCTGTCAGCTGTTTCCTGCCTGAAAAATTGACAGGGAGGGAGGGGAGCTGTCAGCATGCAGTGGGGGTGGGGAAGCAGCCAGGATAGTGGCATCTGTGCATCTGTGCTGGGGCTGACCTGGCCTTGCTCGCTCACCCCACGCCTTGCTGCAGTCTCGAGTCCACACGGTAGGCAGAGCCCTGGGACTCATAAAGCCGTGGTTAGAGTGTATTTCAAGGGAAGAAATTTTTATAAAATGGAATTTGGAAAGTGCTTTTTTCTTCTTCCCCTCCCTCCCTCCCTCCCTTCTTCCCTTCCTCCCTTCCTCCCTTCCTTCCTTCCTTCTGCTTTGATTTTGCTTGCTTATGTCTTAGCACAAAGCACAGTTTAGGCGACTGAGCAGGCAGTAGGTTCAGATTTAAGAAACCATTTTTGAGTAATTGCTGTGTGCCATCCCCTGTGCTGACAGTCAGGTTGTTGTCCTGTTTTACCCTCAGTAGCCTGGGAGAAAGTTATTGTTCCCATTTTTCTGATGGAAAAGCCAAGACTCAGTAGGTTAAGTGATTTTCCCAAGGTTAGAAGAGTTAATAAGTGGTAGGATTAGAATATTCCAACTCAACTATTTTCATTTCAGTGCAAAAGAAATATCTGATAGTGACAGAGGGCCAAGAAAGAAAAATTACGATTTTGATACTTTCTAATAAATGAACCTCATTGCCAACAGTCCCAGTTAGGAATTACTAAGAAATAAATTAATGAGACCATAAAATAGAATTGGAATTTCACGATGCTAAGAAAAATAAAATACCTAATAGTTTGTTTGCCTCCTTTTTACTTTTTGTAAAAATGTTCAGTTTTGATGTGGATTATAAAGGCTGGAGTGGCAGACACTAGTATGTTTTAGGAGCTTGCAAAGGAAGAGATTTTTGAGGTACAAACAGCTGTCCTCCAGGAGTCATCAAAACGCTACCTCTTGCTGCCTTCCCTTCAACTGCCTGAGCTCATTCTCTGGGAGTCTGTCCAGCTGCAGTGAATCTTTCTAACTTGACTCTGCTGATAGAGGCCAGGTTCTTTACTCCCAGCTTCTGCCTCCTGCAGATGAGTGTGACTTCCGGTGGGTAGGGGGTGGGAGGCAAAAAAATACTGAGCTGCAGGCTTTGGGATGGGACGCCTTTATCTTCTCACACCCTCCACCTCACCCAGGGGAAAGCCCAGCCATTGTTCGCCACTCCATTATTAGGGACGCAGGTCATACCTTGACACAGTTTTGATCCTTCAGGATTTAATGGGACCCAAAAAGGTAATCCATCATACCTCTTTATCCGATTATTATTTATTTTAATGGCTCTCAGAATGACAGCTGGACTTAACTAGTGAGCTGTGAACATAAGTGAAAAAATGGTTTCTGGAATCACAAGTAGAAACACAAGTGAGAGAAAGGAATTTGCACCCATCTCCTTTCAAAATTTGGTCTGTTTTTTGAGCAGTCTGGTCTTGTTTTGAGTGCTGCAGCTTTTTGGTGAATTTTCCTCATTAGAAAACCCTTGGGTCTCCTGGGAAAACCTTCTGAAGAGAAGCCTGTGAAGGTTGTGTTTTTAGCAATGATGTTTCCTGAAGGCTTTTCACCCTTCTTGGCCTCAGAGTGCTATTGCAAGCCCACAGTTAGGCACTGGTTGCTTATTAGGGTGTTACCCGGGAAGACTGACAGCAGATGCACAGGCAGCCAGAGCAGACGGAGAGGGGAAGGTGACACATGACGGGAGGACCTGTTTTCATGCAGATGTTCTTGTGCAAAGGCAGAAGGACAGAGGGATCAGGTCCTCCTGAGTAGGACAGCAGAAATGATTTAGTATGTGGTTTGTTTTATACTTAATTTAAAATAAGGACTTTGGGGGCTTGGTCTGTAACTGCAAATGGCAGTTCTGTACACAGGCAGGTGGGGCTGCTTGTTTATTTCTTCATTCTTTATGTGTTTATTGACTGTCTACTGTCCATCGGGTATAGTAGCATGCTTTCCATCCCATAATGATGACACAGTCTCTGGCTTCAAGGAAGAGACAGTCCGGAGAAAAAGACCCTCCAGTGATAAACCCTCCGGGCAGGACTCTGTGAGAAGTGTGTCCAAGATGTACAATCCACACATCGAACCATGCGGGTGAGCATGGAGATCCAGGCCTTCGTCCCAGAGAACGTGGCGTTTTCCTCCTCTTGCTCCCTTTTTCCTTTCAATTAACAGTTCAAACTAAAATTAACTTGGGTAATTTTACCTTTTCTGTCAGTCTCAATCCTACATGGCAATTACCGTGACATCAAAGGCTGGATATGTTAAAAGACAGAACTGTTACAATCTTTTAAGTGTTTTATCCACTTATCTCTGGATGGCTCCCGTGGCTTTCCAGTGACCAGAAGCTCTCACCCGGGGAAATGCCGCCATTGCCATGACTTCTGTGTTTAACACGAACAGCTGACCCCGGCCCTACAAAGGAGCTGGCCCATCGGGGGGCGCCGGGGCGGATACAGGCTGTGTGCATTGCCCAGGTGCAGGGGAAAAGGAAGGCGTGGTGCTGAGTCTGACAGCCCAGAGCACTACCGCTTTCCAGCTCACAGCAGCCAGCAGTTTGACCCCGTCTCCTCGAAGCATCTCCATCTCAGGAGGAAGTACTGCTGGCCCCTATGTGCCGTGAACTCTTGTGAGCGCCAGATGAGAGATTGTGTGCTAGAGCGCTCTAAAATCTCCTCAGCCGCTGCTCATATGGAAAGAGTTCAAGGTGATAGGCCAGTTCTGCATCTCCCATTCTGTACTGCAGTGGATTGAATGTTTCCCGTGAAACGCCGAGGGTAGAGCATTTTACTTACTATGCTGAAGTGCACATAGTGTACTGCTAACCTGCCTGTGTTGCAGTACTGACCCCTGCTCACTGTTTGACCTTGAGCAACCTCATTGATCTTGCCAAACCTCAGTATGCTCATTTATGAAATGGGTGCAGTGGGGGTAGTAGCTGATGGAATTGTTTTGAAGAGTTGCTGGGTTGTGCTGTGAAATACTCTCTCACTGGGCAGACAAGGGTTGAGATCAGAGATCTGATCTGAAAGTACAGCACAGCAATCACACTTCGGCTGTCACAGCAGGTGGCGTTGCATCTCCAAAATGTCCTCTTGTGTCTGGCACTGTGTGTGTGTGTGTGTGTGTGTGTGTGTGTGTGTGTGTGCACGCCTGCAGGTAAGGGCTGGTAGCGGCTCCATCCAGGCACTCACAAAGTCCCTAGTAGTCCGTAAAGGCTCCATGTATCTTAAAGAAAGAGGTCGATTAGGATATGGCTCAGACAAAGCTCCTCCATGTGCCAGGCTTGCAGCTGAGGCAGGGCCTCCCTGGCCTCGCCACTGCCCCTGGGCCCCAGAAGGGGTGGGGCGGGAGGTCAATGGTGGTGCCACGCAGCAGATGTGCTGGGGAGTCTCTCCACCCTCCGGTAGCTCTAGGCCTTGGGAGGATGGGAAGAGAGACAAGAGGCTTTGGGACACAGCTTTTTGTTTTTTGTTTTTTTGTCAAGCTATTGCTCCTAGGGAAATCTAGAGTAGGACAATAATCTTCCATGAGGATCAGCAGCTGTCTATATACTCAGGACCCCAAAGAAAGAAAATGCCAGACTCAGTAGAAACTGGGTCAGAAGCCAAATGACCTTTCAAAAAAGGAATTGTCCAGCCGAGTGTCTTGATTTTTTCTGTTTTCAGCAACCTGATTGTCCTTTCTTCTCCTTTGCCCTTACAGAAAATGAAGGAGTACCTAGAAGGCAGGAACCTCATCACCAAGTTGCAAGCCAAGCACGACCTTTTGCAGAAAACCCTGGGAGAAAGTGAGTGTGAGATCGCTCTGCGGGAGGTTGGCAGAGAGGGGAGGCCCTGCCGAGCTCTCCTGCTGAGCACGAGCCTCCATCCTCATGAGCCCAGTGGGCCCGATCTGGTTCTGTGAATGGTCTTCTGTCCCCAGCCTGTTTAGCATGGAGGCGCATGCCCCAGACGGCTGCCTGAGTGTTGGTAAAAGGGCGATGCTCAATGAAGAACTAATATGCATCCTTTTGTTTATTTAAATGGAGCGTGCTGCTGCTCCACCCAACAGGGCAAGGGGGCTGCAGACCACATGTTAAGTCACAACTCTGTGGTGGGACCAAGGTTAGAGCCAGAAGGTGGGGACCATGAGGTGAGACAGGGAGAGGTCCTCCAGTGCAGTGGTGGGCGGACTGCCGCCTGCTGTAGCTTGTAGGGCAGCCTCTCGTTTCCTTCTGCTTGGAAGGTTCTGGGTGCTGCGTGAGTGGCAGCTCTCTCTGCCGTGGCCATCTTGAGGCCATGGTGCTGGGCAGAGGGGCTCATCACAGGCGAGGATCTTATCCAGGCCCTGGAAAGTAGCAAGGCAGAGAACTGGACTCGCACTCTGAACTTTCTCCCCTCGGCCGCCAAACAGAAGGCAAAGGATGGAAGAGAAGCTTCCCTGGGGTTGTTTGGCACCTGCCCAGGTCTCCTGCCTGGCCCTCGACATCCTATGATTAATGGCATTTCCAGCTTGGGGATGCCTCTGAATGCCCTTCATGTCCCCCTGCCGGCCACAAAGACTGCGTGAATGACAGGCAGGCCTGCCCGTACAGAGTTCCAGCATTTTAAAATGAACTCTCGAGCTCTCACCAGACAACCACAGAATATAGGAAAGTGTGCAAGATTCATTGGTTCACTGGCCCAGGAGTTGAAGCCTGTTTTTTCATGCTAGGACCTCCTGCCTCCCTCCTTGCTGTCCTTCTCCTCTCTGAACAGTTCCTCCAGATGGTTAGCTCTACTTTCTCTAACAACTCTGATCTTCTCATTTTTAAGACTTTTTTAAAAAATGTGAACAAAGCCTTTTAGACAGCTTCTGGTCTCTTCCCTCTCTATCACCTAAAAGGCTCAGACTAAACAGGTCCAGGCATTGAAGTGTTGCTTATAGAAAATTTTGACTCTTGAGATTACCCGATTGCTCCATAAAGGACTGAAGTAAAAGAAAGCCCAGCACTATTTGAAGCAAGTTAGAGCTGTGATTTTTTTTTTTTTTTTTTTTGTAG